TATTCAACTTTTCTTTCGGTTAAATTAGCAAAATTAACGCAGTTTTAAAGCAATTAAACAGTAGTTGGTAACAAGAACCGGTCTGCCACTATAGATTGAAATTAATTGAGTAGGCATGTCATCAGGCTACGGCAAAGCCTGCCTCACGGTCATGATATACATATATATATATATATACATATATATATATCAGATCCAACCTACGGTTTGGACTGATGGACAGCTGTCTGGATGAGTTAGATAGGCGCCCACGCCCGTTTGAAACCGAAACAAAGTAATTGGGCAAGATGACGGTTCTATAATTTATCATAAATTTAAGTGTACATTATTACCTAAATAAATATGACCACTTAGCTATCCAGAAACGACAAAATGGTAATTACGTGTGTCCCTATCCTTCCGAGTTTTACGGAGCCGTTTAGCCGAACAGCACATAGACGACTGTTAACGGGGATCCACTCTAACAGTGCTTATTCTGCCCTCATGCTTAGTGCCATGCCTACACCTGCCAGTCCACGAGAACTGGCCATCGCGCCACCAGATACACGGAGGGTGTGTCTTGCTGGCTCTCTGTTTTCCCGAGGTGAGGTCAAGTAAATGACTACACTAGGATCGTGTATGTGTGTTCTAGAGACACAGCATACATCAATGGTACGAGATTCTAGGGTTTTAGCCAAGGAAGCCTGCTGACCGATTTGACATAGGGTGCGTACGTTGATGGCTCCAATGTGTAGTTTGGAGCGAGGTTTCAGTAGACCGGGGACAGTGTTTTGCTCACTAGAATTGTTGGCTATGGTGAAACTTGAGGAGGAACCTGAAAGAGGAAGTTTAGAGTTGAAAGTCGATGTAGGAGGAATAATAGGAATTGAAGAGGGAGGTTGATTATGAATACAGTGGTCTTGAGTGTTGTTAGAGGTATGAGAGCGGTTGTCACTTCCCGGTTGCCCACACTGTGGAAGGAAAAGCTTCAGTTTCAGTTTGGGAAGGACAGAAGGCTCGATGGCCTATGTTAGTCCTGGTAATGGTGGTTTCTCAGTTGGTCCAACTTTCTTTTGAAAGAGTCGACGGATGGAGCCCCAACCACGTGCCGAGGTAATGAGTTCCACTCGATGATGATTCGATGGGAAAGCTGATAGTCAGCTGACAAGTAATTTGTTCTTGGCTTGTGAACTTTTTTTGAGTGTCCTCGTAAATTCTCTGTTTTGGAAGACAAGAAAAATGAGGGCATATCAGGTGCAAATTTGGCATTAAGCAATTTGAAAACTGTAATCAGTTCGCCTCTAGTTCTGCGATATGACAACGGGAAAAGGTTCAGCTTGGCCAGTCGAACTTCATACGGAAGCTTCGCTATTCCGGGAATCAGCTTAGTCGCCGTTCTCTGAACCTTTTCCAGAAGCTCACTGTCTTTTTTTAAGTAGGGGCTAGCCGCTTGTATGCAGTACTCAAGTTTAGGACGAACGAACACTGTAAACAAAGTCAAAAACGTTTTGGCGCCGACATGATTAAAAGCTCTACGTATTGACCATAAGGTTCTACTGCACGGCAGTGTGCAGTAGTCTTTAAGTCTTGGCTAACGATGACTACCAAGTCATTATATGTATGGACGACAGGTAGTTCAGTGTTATTCATCGTGTATGTATCTGTGCCTTGGTGACCGATATGCATCACAATACACTTGGAAGTATTTATCGGCAACTGTCATGTTTGAGACCATTCAGATAACTTCTTCAGGTCATTTTGAAGTTCTAAGCTATCACTCTTACATCGTATCGTTCTCCATATCTTGACATCGTCAGCATATAGCAAGACCGATGTTGATAGGAGACAAAGAAGGTCATTTACATACAAGAGGAATAGCACTGGCCCCAAAACTGTACCCTGGGGCACTCCACTAACCACAGTTCCCCAGCTAGATAACTTTGAGTTCACCCGAACTCTTTGTTGACGCCCAACTAAGAAGTCTTTTATCCACATCAATAAATTGCCTACAATCCCGACTTTTCTTAACTTATATAACAGCCGGTTGTGCGGAGCTTTGTCAAAAGCTTTACTGAAATCAATGAAGGCGACGTCTACAGGTAGCTTTTGGTCCTTAAGAGCGCACCAGCTTTCACGAGCCACTAATAAGTTAGTGAGACAAGAATAACCTATTCTGAAGCCGTGCTGCTTCTCCGAGAGGATTCGGTTTTTATCGAGATACTTAAACAGCTCCTTCCGAATAATCTTTTCTAAGATTTTAACAACCACACTAGTTAGGCTAACGGGGCGGTAATTCTCAGGTGTGCGTTTCGTACCTGTTTTGAAGACAGGACTTACTATGGCGTTTTTCCAGTAAACGACCCTGCGTTACGGATAGGTTAAAGCATATACTTAATGGGTTCGCAACGACGTTAGATAATTCCTTCAGTAGCCTAGGATGTAATTCATCGGGTCTCGTGGATTTACCTATGTCAAGCTTATTTAGTAGGCCAAGGGCATAGAGTTCTTTAATGGTCACGCTATCCAGTGTATGTGTGTGGGGGGGTCTGTATGCGCTGATGGGAAGGGTGCTTCTATGGTGTATACATTGCTAAAGTAGTTTGAGAACACTTGAGCCTTACCAAAGTCGTCTTCCACTAATGATGAAGCAGTACTGTCTCCCCACAGAGCAGGAATATTTCCTTTTCTCCTTGTCCTTTGGTTTATATAGGAATACAAGCGTTTAGGACATTTCATGGATTCCTTAACAAGTTTTTCTTCGTACAATTTTCTAGACTTACGGAGGGTCGAGGCACAAGCGTTCCGAGCCTTTCGATACTGCGATTTTGACTCATCAGTCCCCAGTAACCTAAATCTATCCCACATTTTCCTTTTCTTACGGAGAAGGATACAGACCTCCCTACTGAGCCATGGTGGTGAGTTTTTCGGCCCCTTTGGTATAGTCCAAGGGATGTGAGGTGTGGTAACTTTTAAGTATGAATTTCGAAATGCGTCCCAGGCCGTTTCAATGGAGGACTCTGGGTCTATTGTCCAATCTATTAACGATGCTAAGTGCATGATGTCTGGTATGTTTGCTTTCCAGAAGTTGGGTCTGGACTGGACTTACGCGTGCTCGTGACCGGCAGTTATACGGAAGTCGAAAGTTAAAACTGCGTGGTCACTTCTACCTAGGGGTGGCATATGATGGAGGTTCGCAACATCATCCTCATAGTGAGTCAGTATAAGATCTAATAAGGATGATTCAGTGTCCGGATCGTACCTTGTCGCTTCTTTCACATGTTGCACTAGAGCACACGTGATAACCCCATCAACTAGTTCCTGCTCGAAAGAATTCTCCGACGATTTAGTTCGCAGAATTTCCCAGTCTACTATAGGTGCATTGAAGTCCCCTAGGATTAGACTTCGACCACTCTGTAACCAAGTATTGAGACTGCTTAGCAGGAATTCATTTACCTCACAGCTTGGACTGCGATAGACCAAATCAATCAGCAGCTCTTGTCCCTTGCATTTGAAGCGAAGACTAACTAAGTCACACCTCCCACTCTCATGGGATACACTATCGATAATGACAAATGGGATAGCATTCCTAATGAATAGAGCTACTCCCCCTCCTCTGCGCTTTTGTGTTCTGTCGGCTGATCTGTCGCTATGAGCAGCTTTCGATTTTTCAACTACTTTTACGGGGGCAGGGTTCCCTTTTATATCCCTACTTTTCTTCATTACAACCTGTACCCATTCGTCAACGGTGCTGGTAGAAGCAATAACAGTTGCGTCAAACCTAGTGTTGGATTTTGGGGGTTGTCGACGACCGATCGAGCCTTGCGATTGCTGCTTCTAGGTGTTTCCTGTTGGATCCCATCTGGGAGACGGGGAACAGAAGACCCTACTTTTCTTGAGCTTTTGTTTAAGACAGGCCCTTTTGGAGACTGCTTTTCCTTCTTTGACGGGCGTGAGTCATCTATCATCGGACCAACCGTAGTTTCCTTCACGTTGATTTGCGTGTCGACAGATCGAGTGATGTTTGACGCGTTCCGACTATGCTTGCTAAAACACTTCTTTGCAGCATCAACCAGTGAAATGGCCTCGGTTAACAAGCTGTTTGCATACGAGCAGCACTATTGACAAAGCCATACACAACCCTTCCTACTGAACCGTTCGAAAGCATCAGGCGTTAAGTTCGTGCAAACTTCATGGTACCAGCCTTTGCACTCGTCGCACTGCATGCCGCTTTCAACAGGACAACGACAACCCAGACGTTGGCAACTGCTTTTTTTACACTGTTCGGTCATTTAGGAGGGGTTCTTTTTCAAGATGCGATGATACTCGGAAACCAAAAAATAATCAATGAACAAAAAAGCGAAGAGCTGTAGATTGCTAGGACCAAAAGTACTAACAGATACAGTTGAAAAAGAGGTACTCAATAGTACCAACGACAAAACTAATTGAGAGAACAGTAAAAACGATACCCTAGTCGAATACTTTAACTGAAATAAATTCAGCTAAAGTGGAAACAGTAGTCTTGATACGTAATAAAGGATCAAAACAAAGAAATTTACTTAGCGAGGAAAAATACCACTGTGCTTTTTAAATAGCGCGCTCAAAGGTGTATCAAAACAATGTCCCTAAAATATTTCGGGGAGTTTCCATGGACCTGGGGAGATTTCGGGGTTTCTTATGCCATTACTTCAAAGTCTTCTATTGTGGCTTCCCCAAATTAGGGAGATTGGTGTATATACTTCTTTCAAACGAGTCCCAACTTGTAAATCTAGATAACATAACATAATTGAATACTCGTCCTATGTCATGCATCATTAAGATAGCACCACGTTAGCTACTTGAAGGATTGACGTTATCAGACATAGTGTGCCTGAACTAAAATGAAATCCATAAACATTTTGATTTGACCGCGTCTGCAATACTTCATGAATTGTTGATGTGACGCACCAATCACCTTATGACAGTTTGACCTTCAAGTGCTCGCAAACTTCAGTGGGCTCACCACTGAAGCGTTGTTCTATTCCACTTTACATACAGTCATCTGAGGTTGGTAGTTTCATGTGATATTGTCAGTTATTAAATAACGTCTACGCTATTGGTATTCACTGTTACTCAGTTGTTTATTCCTGCTCCCAGTAATTTTCTTTGGCCACCATCGACCCTATGTTTATCTTTAATTAAGTTTCGCCTAATCTGATTATTAGAGCTTTATTGTAGTGTGCATTATTTTTTCTATCCGCTCTTCAACTTACTATAAGCTCCAGTCGATGTGTTATGCTGCCATGCTGAAATGAACTGTTCTATTAATTGCGGAAAAACAACTCCAAATGACTTTTTGTTCCCTTTTAATATCATTAACCGAATTAGGTGAATGCAGGTAAGGTGGATGCAGGTCATTCTAAGTAAGTTAGGTTATGTTTAAGTCATCAACACATCAAACAATAACCTAAGAAAAAGCAAGTTTCTACGTCCAACACTAAATCCGTAAGTCAGCTTAGTTACTAACTTCATATCAAACGTATTAATATTGTGACAAATATGACACAGTGGCTTGGATTTTTTCCAAGTAAATTAGCATCAAGTTTGCTAAAACATTCGAGTTCTGAAGACCCTTTACTTCGGTTGCTTCAAAATAACTTGTTAGGATGTGATAAATATACATGTTTCTAACAGTCCTCACTCACTTGGGGTTAAAAACTCGGTACCCTTCGATAAGTTGTCATTTAAATGTGTATCGCCTAATAAATCATTTTAGAGTTAATTATCTTTTTTAACCTGCTTTCTATCGGTCAATGGTCATGTTATCTTGCCTGTTGTTTGTGTCAATGGTATGATATTTTGATTCATATTCAAGAAATTTGGTGTATCCACTGGGCTCTATCTAAAGGTTTGGATCAAAGATCAAGATCTACGGAAAATTACATGCCGTATCATAATCTCGGTTGAATAAAAACATTTACTGGGTAAAATCAAGGTGGACGAGGCCTAAATAAAAGCATTGAGTCTGTAAACCGGGTAACGTGCAATTTGATCCGGTTAATAGCGCAATAATTTCTAGAAACGAGTGCTGCCGTATACGATTTCAGCAACCGCGCATCCACCTCTGATCTTTATCTCAACGCGTACCACGAAGATAAGTAGGAGTACATTTTCCCATTACGATGTGGCATCGGAGTGGGGTACTTAAGGTTGTCGAAATAGCTACTTTACTATACTACCAACTTGTAGGTTGTAGGTGTTTAAATAAGAAATTCCGTCTAAATTTGAAACAATAGTTCCACAATATTTGGGCGCCGAGTTAATGTGAGATATTAAAAAGGAAGAATGTATTTGTAAAATCTCAGCGAAATAATTTGAAGTAAATCCAACGTTTAGCCTAGCAATCTGGTCCAAGCTTTTTCAAGAAAAATAAGAAAATTTGAGCAGATGTTTAAACATTCGTCGAAATCCAACAATGACGAGATTAGAAATAAATCCAAGGAACTCGTTATAAACAAAATAGTGGTAAATCTATCTGACAGACATTTAAATCAACACGAACTATCGCTACTTAAAAATGGTCTCAATTTCAATATGGACAAAACACGAATTTCGGCCTCTGAAGTTATTCCGTTGATCGAACCTGCCTTAAACAGTGTTCCAGATGATCAAGCGGATTCAGTGAGGTTTAAAATCTGAGCTGCATTGTTGAATCAAAAACCAAGTACGCCTAATATTTCTAAAGAAGAAACGTATGCCCTAAAACAGTTACGTTAAGACAGAAAAATTGTTATTATGAAAGCAGACAAGGGAGACACCACTGTTGTTAGGAATAATTATATGAAAGAAAAGTCAATGAACATCTCCACAATGGACCCTATTAAAAAATCATGAAGAACAAATGTAGAGCCACTTTAAATAAGTTGAAAGCTGAAACGGCCAAGATGCTACATAAGTTAAAGTCCAAACTAGGACCATCTTTATGGTTCTCTTAATATCCAAAAGGCAATAACCCTTGTAGATTTTATGGCTTACCGAAAATACATAAAACAGATATCCCACTAAGACCTGTGGTTGAATACATAAATTCAGCAACCTATAATCTTTCTAGATACCTGGCCAAAATTCTTAAACCATATGAAAGCGTTGTAAAATAAGGAATAAAAAATTCTAATGATTTCAAAAACATTGTCCGTAATATCCGCATAGAAGAGGATGAAATAATGGCAAGTTTTGATGTTTGCTCATTGTTCACTAATGTTACTGTTAATAAAGCTTTAGATGTTGTATATAACCTCTTAGATCCTGACACTGAACTTAAACAACGTTGTCCTTTAGATCCCTCAGACATTATTAGATCTTTGGTTTTATGCTTACATTCAACTGTTTTCAGCTTTCGGGGAGATTTGTACAGATAAACAGAAGGTGTAACTATGGGATCACCGGTTTCTCCTATTGTTGCTAACTTATTCATGCATTCACTGGAAGCAAGTGCTATCTCAATTTGTTCCATTCCACCAGAAATTTGGTTAAGATACGTAGATGACACTTTTGTCATTATAAAATGAAATGATTTAGACGAACTATTTCAACTTGTCAACAGCATTTATGACAAAATCAAGTTCACTAAAGAGTTGGAATCTCCTGAACGCAAATTACCTTTTCTAGACTGCTTGGTTGAAAGGAAGTATAATGATCGTTTAAAAATTAGTATTTTCCGAAAGCCGACATATTCAGGGAAATTTCTAGATTTTAAGTCTGCGCATCCACGCTCTACCAAAGTGACAGTAGCCAGAAATTTGATAACCAGAGTAAAAAAACTTGTCGCTGAACAAAATGATATAAAAAATGGAAATGAATTTAATTGTATCCACTCTAATTATGAATGATTGTCCGAAGGATTTTATTAAAAGAATAATTAAGAATGAAGGACAAAATATTATTAAAAAAAGAGTTATGCGAAAAGAAAGGATTGATACAGGGGTAATCCCATATCGTAAAGGTATTTCAGAAGAGATCAAAAGAATCCTAACTCTTCAACATCTAAGAGTATTCTTTCGAACAAACAATACTCTAAGATCAAAACTAGTAAGAATCAAAGATCCAATACACAATGGTGAGCAACAGAATTTTGTTTTTAAAATCAACTGTAATGCAACGTATTTAGGTGAAACATCAAGGCAACTGAATGTGAGGGTGAAGGAACACAAACTATGGTTAAAGCACATTCCTAAATCTTCAGTTGAGGTAAGAAAACACGAGAACAAATCAGCGATAGCATTACACTCGATAGAATCGGGTCATGCAATTGATTTCAATGGCACAAGATTCCTTCAAAAAGGCTTTAATTCTTACAAAGAAAGACTAACAGCCGAAGCCCTACATATATGGGCTAATCCAAACAGTATTAATAGGAGAGATGGAATACAACTAGCTGTCCCATGGCAACTAATAATTAATAAGTAAACCTGAACTCCTTATTCAATTCTATCTATCTATATCATATTAACTAATCAGTAGATAGCCCCCCAAATGCCCTGGTATGGCCGAGAGTGAGGTGGGCCCTCCCTCCCTCTCGAAATGCTCTCACACGGCCACGCGTATACGGCCTCTGCCAGGGAAGTCCTACTCACCATGTACCTATTTACGCTCGATAATTTTGTTTGATTATATTTTCCTTAAAAAAGCTTTGACCAGATTGCCAGACGAGACGTTGGATTTACTTCAAATTCTTTCGCTGGGATTTTACAAATGCATTCTTCCTCTTTAATGTTGTAGGTGTTTGTTTAAAATAGTGGGTCACCTAGGACTTATTCTTAAGTACAGAATATCTCATCTACAATATAGTTCATAGTCAATCCTGGTCGTTGATGGGCAGCTGAATTTGTCGATTTATCTCTCGAACGAGGTACAATCTCAGGTCCCAGCATTGACATCAGTCAGTAACAACGTAGAACTTCGTACGTACGTACGTACATCAGTTGGAGTTGCCATACCACATTAGCACAGAGATGTAGCTGTCGACTCAAATTCCGTAGTGGTGACATCATTGATAAGAGCCATTTCGGACTAATATTTAAGACGATCTATATATATGTAATAAGGCATATATCTAGTAGTTTCTTACCGGGAGATCATTAGATAAAGGTGAGTATGGTTCAGACGAGCATCGGGATTGATAAACAAAATAGTTTGCAGAGTGCAAACTAGGGAGTAAAGACGTCTCATCACGCAAAGGGTGAGGATATTTCATATGTGATACTCAATTCAATATCCCGTAATGTGTACTACTGATTATCAGTAACTATGCGTTTATTGAGACAATTTAATTTATTACTTCCAGATAAATTTTTCTGAGTTTCTAAATTGTTTTATGTCTTAGCAGGTTATTTTAACTTGATCACCATGTTTGACATCTTATACCAATCGCTATTAACTAGTTCCGACTTAATAGTAGCTACCAGTATATAATCCGCGTTTACACAGATTGCATAAGAATGCGACCATCATTGATACATTTATCCTAAATGTCCTCAGTCACTGTAAATATAAGACATTACTTCAGCATTGGCTGGCATCATCGCTTGAATTAGTGATGGGGAGTGGAGTAGTCGAACGCATCGACCGCTCCACTTATATTAGTAGTATCATCACTACTGATGGTTTGGTGTCTGAAGAAACCTCAGCACGGATTCAGAAGGCTCGATTGGCTTTTGCCAATTTGTATAGGCGAGATACCCCTCCTCCAACCAAAGGGAGAGTTTACTGTCCAGAAGTTCTCTTCATTGTACTTTATGAATGTGAAACATGGTCATGAAGAGTATAAGACACTCATACGTTTCTGGTATTCGATCATAAGCGTCTACGAAGTATCGTTTGTGTATTTTCGGAGCATGGAGTAAGCCTAGATTAGGAGTAGAGTACTCAGCTGTGATGAGTAGTCGACTGTTGAGGTGGTAAATCTTCAACTGAGGTGTTACTTATGCCCAACCACCGCCTACATCGACGGGTTATGTCTTTGGGTGCAGGAGTAGGCTGGAAGAAAGTTAGGGACTGCCAAAATAAAACATGGCATCACTCCATGAAGCCACTGACAGCCACGTTAATAGGTACGCACTACCTTGTTGGGGTCCGTGTGACTATCGTAGCCAATGGTTAGAGACTTTGAATAACATGGCTGAAAATAGTTTGTAACGGCTCAGGTGCATCCATTCTTTATCTTTCCTCAAATCCTGAAATTCTAAATTGCTCATAAGTCTCTGTGTTTTTATCTCACTAATTTATATTTTCTTTTCGTGTCGCATCTTCGATGACTTATCTTTCCTAATTACCACGGATACTGTTACTACATCTATTATTCCAGGATTTGACCTGATAACATCCCTATTTTAACGGGGTATGACGTGAACCGATGTACGTACGTACAGGTTCTACGTTGTGACTGACTGATTCACGGCAATCCAATAAAATACTTCTTGAAATGTTTACTTTTGGGCTTTGTAAATTAATGTTTCGTTCATTATGGTTCAATTTTACTTGATGGTCATTGAATATGCTTAAGTTATTTTTCTTATCTAATGCTTAGTATAACTTTACTATTGATTTTTTAGGACACAAAAGCGATACTACAATTATAGTCACAAGTTTAAATTATGGCAAAGCATCATCCAGACCTTATTTTCTGCAGGAAACAACCAGGTGTTGGTAAGACTGTTGAATTTCACTACTATCCTTAACAAAGCTATCGGTCGTCTGTGTGAAAAGTGTGATGGGAAATGCGTTATTTGTGATTCTTATGTTCGCCCGTGTACTCTTGTTCGCATATGTGACGAGTGTAATTACGGATCATATCAAGGACGTTGTGTTATATGTGGTGGTCCAGGGGTTTCGGACGCTTATTACTGTCGACAGTGCACGTGTCTGGAAAAGGATGTGAGTGTTTCTCGATTCTCTTTAATTAGATATTTTTACTTAGAGAGATGGGTGCCCTAAGATCGTCAATTTAGGAAGTGCGAAAACTGATCTGTTTTATGAACGTAAAAAATATGGATTCAAAAAACGTTGACATGTTCCGAAAAATACATCTTTTGTAAATGTTTCTCACTTCATATATTATCAGTAAAGCTCTCCATAATGATCTCTTTTCAGGTGTTACTTTATAGTGATATGATTATTATTCCTAACTTAATTGAATTCATAGTATGCATATCTTTGTTATATGTACAACGTGACTTTCGGAAGTTGAAAGTATACTCCGGGTGTTATCATTGATAATTGGCAACCTCTGAGGTTTTTTAAGGAATGTGACCTCCAAAACATTATTTAACTGGAATCTGAGTAAAAATAACACGTCAGTAACTTTATCAAAAGTTGGTTGTTACGAGTGGTAGGAAGTCTCAAGGAGCTTTACTGGTTTCAGATTATTTTCCACTTCTTTACCAATTAAGTGGTGACTCTTAGATCCTAAATACAGTTTCTAACGTCAAATCAAGCTAGTCGTAATAGGTGAAATTCAGACCGTTTGATAATTCATCATCATTGTGGATCTTTTCGTTGCTTAGGAAAATTAAATAAGTTCACGCCAAATAGTAACAGAGCCTAGGTCACGTAGTTCCTAAATTATAATCCATCGTCTAACTTCAGTTACTAGGAGCACTTTTAAAACTGATAACTTACTATAATAGATGGCGTGGAAAATAATGATTGGGAATCTCAAACGGGGATTCCTTAAAACTTTTCAAAGACTTGTTTGTTATATCTGTTAGGGGAGACACAAATAGCAATCGAACTAGGTAATTGTTTGGTCTCCCAGCTTATCGGTTGTATTAACACGGTGAGTTTGGTGTTAATACGACGTTTTATGGAGTAAATAATCCATCTAATTCACCGTAAAACCTGGCAGGAGTGTTTATCAGTCCCAGCTGGCTCACTGCACATTACCAAAATGGAGGAGGAAATTCATAGAACAGGGAGCTTAGGAGGTAAAATAATGTCAAGCCCAATGTGTTGTGGAGCTCAATTTTTCTGTGCTATGATAAATACATCTCTGATTAAGAGGATGATTCAAAACCTGATCAACTAGTGATGTACAGTGATACTATAACAGCTGGCGACATTGAATTCTTGACAAAAGCCCTAAAATGAACTGATGTAAAAACGTAGCACAAAAATCATTAAATGAGGGTTATCTGGTCATGTTTACGTACAAAATATGAAACGTGATTAGGATCAGTTTGGAACAAGAGGAATGTGGATATATAAGTTTTGTATGTCACTCACAAGCCAATGATTTACTCATTCACAGCAAATATAAACTGGCACAATGAGATATCAAAAAGTGCTGGACTAGTGAAATGATAATATGGTGGAGGAATGAAAAAAGTCAGTGGTCTCAGAAAATAAATGAACAAGAAAAGTGTTCAGTAAAAGATACAATGCAGTCAAAATCGATGCTCCATTAAAGAAATTCAAGTAACGTTTTACGAAGAATTTCGGAAAAACCCAGTATGATCGCTTCCGTCCACAGCCATATCTAATGGCTTCTTAAACCGCTGAGTTCCACAATCTCTAAAAACCCAGCCAAGAAGTGATGAACCGATGTGCCCGTCGTAGACACCTATCTATCATACCACAGCGCTGGTCGATCCTCCCTTTTTTCACTTAGCCAGCATCGGGAAATAATGGGCCTTGTGGAAGCCGATTGAACGATACTAGTAAACCGTGTTTGAACTGCTAAAGCCGGTTTTTCAAGATGGTGACACCAAGTGTACCCAAACATATTACAGAACCGCCAGGATTACCGGATGTTACCAATTCTTCAGAGGCAGAGATAATCATGCACAGTCCCTAAACATTCTCAGCTCTACAAGGATAGCAGAACCGCTCTCACCGACACGTATATTCAGTCTTTTATAGTCAAATTAGCAGCGTCACGTTTGAACCGAAAACGGCACAGATCGGCATAAGCTACTCTGGCTCGCACCATTTGATAGGTTTACTTGACCCCCACGGTGATCGCAGGTTCAATATCCTGTTAGTCTTGCAGAAGTGTTTTGCGTTTCGAATAAGTAAATTAGACCCCGTACATGAGTAAGCTAATCACTAACCAAGAAGTATACTTCAAAGACAACTTAAACCGAAGAATAAAAATATGGAGCCGTAATAAACTTGAGATTTAAAGAGAAGCAAGGCTTGAGTATAACTACCGGAGTAACCGACTTTGGATCGTACTACCGATTATGACTAATGTACAGACTCCAAACCGCACGTCCGCAACTGACATGGTTAGCACCAACATTCAATTGATGAAATAATAGCATCTCTTAACTTGACCCCTTCATACTTTCTATGCGAGTAGGTAGTTTGCTTCCGAGTAAGCTCTAGCTAGATATATGTAATACGTCCTAGACACCTTGATCAATAAAGTTCTAAAGTCTCAATAATGGTCGTACCATTTTACCTAGTACTTCTTGCTTGACCATAGCACTACCGACTTGGTCATTCTACTATCTGTGACCAACGGTTCAAAGCTGCCGTTAATCAAACTCTGCGAACACACAGTTCTTTCTTATGAACCTCGATTTATAGCCGTAGAGCAGTGCGAATTGGACTTCTGTCTAGCATTCATGCTCCTTAATAAACACACCTTATCTGCGCTACAGGTGGAGAGTTTGTAGAAGCCAACTTTATTATCTCATGGGAAAATTACATTGACAAATAATTCGACGGATTCAAGTCACCAGTGTAATAATACCTTGCAATATCTATTAACTAGTTATCTAAACTAATTTGATCACCTAAGAAACTCTCCAGATTAAGTTTGGGAACACATCACCTGAACGGTATCCATTTGTCAGTAAAAGTAGATTCGACCATCTAAAGTATCGGCTAGGATTTGTGAGTCATACCTAGAATGTGTCGTGAGAAATCATTTAGTAGGCATGCGTCAATACTAGGTAGCGAATAGTAAGAGGTGGCAGTTGAGACATTCAATTCCTTCGATGGCTCAATAGTCATAGGATTGTACTGATCGCAACAGTACTAGTCTTAGTTTTCCGAGCAGACCGACATATAGTTTCAACATAAATGCAGTAGTTCGTTAATCCAGTTGCTAATTAGGGATACAGAACAAGAAGACTATGTTTTTTCACCATAGTCTGAAGGTCTAGTACGCTTAATTCACATTATCGACACTGTTATCTCTAAAGTTTACATTCATTTAGAGAACTGTCCTTCGAGTGTATGTCCACAGTTTAAACAGATACGTTGTCGATCCTACTAAACTGCAGCTGTCAGATTGGTATTTTGTGGATCTAATTATCTCAAAGGATAACAAACTGTTATTTGGCTTATACAGTTGGGAATCATGAGTTATTTAGTGGTTGTATCTACTAAGCATGTTGATACTAGTATTCCGAAAGGAAATCTGATCACAATTTCATTTTGATCAAATGACTGAAAGTCATCACATGTTGATGGGTTTTGCACTTTCACTTTAGCATGAAATAGGTTGCATTGGCATGTTAAGGAGTCGCAGATATATCTCAATATCACTGTCGTTCGGTACTTCTTAAATACAGGACTAATGACCACGACATTTTCCAATTATATTGGTCATAACCATTAAGGTCTGAAAAATATTCACTTGCGATTAGAAATCAGAAGTACATTAAGAATTATTTTCTAAGGTTACACTTTTTCTATCAGATTAATGCGGTTCACTGACATGAAAAGATAGCGTGTGAAAGGGCGACTGCCGATTATCCCTAAATATTTAATCTATTCTCATTCTCCAAACTCACACCAGAGTTTAGTAAACATAGGTACGGAGGATCGCAAAAACTACTTGCTTTTGTGACCTCAGGTGCAAGCTTTTACTCGGTGATCCACTTTTGAAAATTGACAGTTTACCAACGACTAAGCATCTAAAAACAGCATGATTAGAAGTTCGAAATCTGGTTAATGCCAACAAGCTTTAAACGAATGGGATTTTACGAGCCATCACTTAGTACGTTTGACCAGATAAGCGCGCCTCAATCGTTTTACGAACAGAGAAACAGGGCTTGACTACCAGGTCTTACATGTAGAAAACCATATCAGCCAGTTTAAGACCTGTTTTGTCACAACAGCATTTCTATAGCGACAAACGGTTTTGCTTAACATGACATGGTTAGCTTTACTTGTACTTTAAAGTAATCTTCACTAGGTCAAAGCAGGTTCACTAACATATGAATCACATAAAATATTTTTAGTCTAAGCAGAACATCTACAAGTAAAGTATTTTGAATAAATTTAACGGTTGTAATATTTGCGCAGTGACCCAGCCTAAACGTACTTCAGATTCATCAAGTAAGTAAAACGCTTATAATTTTTATTTGATTGAAATATTCAAAAAATAGTTCGCAATCGTGACTACACTGGAAGTAATTTAGAAAAGCACAAAGCTTGGAACATTTAGTTACAGAAATAATAACTGGGAAAGTTATATCTACAGTTTGGGATTTGCATAAAGATTAGTTATTATTTACTAACTTTTCAAGGCAAGACATGATAAATATACATGCACATTGAAAATTTGTATATAAAATTAACACGATTTGAGTCATGCTACTGCGTTTCAGAAAGTGCAACTTTATTAACTCTTGTTCCGTCACGAGGATCAATAACTTCCAATGGTTTCTTCGGGAATCTTCGGTTGAACACTGGTTTTTCCTCGCTATTCCAGTGAGGCTCCACCGCAGTCATACCTAAGTGCATCACGTATGTTTGACTAGGGTCATCTGGAAATATTAAAGGTATTTTGTAAAATAATGATATACATTTTACGCATTATTTACTCACTGGTTAGAATTTATGAAATTTGATGAAGATAAATATCGTATAGGTCTCCAGTTATTGCTATCCAGAACTTGACAATACCAGAAATTTTGTAACCTTAAATCATTTAACACTTTGTTAGGCTTACGGTATAATATTTTAATGAGCTTATTATGACAGTATATGTGGTGTTAATCAAAAAATCGTGTGGAAAGCTAGGAATTTTACTTTTCTTTGCAGCTAAAGTGGATATCATAATTACAACCAGTTTGGCAACAAATTACCATAGTGCTTGTCTTTACCCT